ATACGGGCTCTGAAACGAATGGGAGTGTTTACGCAGGCGCACTAATCCTGTCCAACATTTTAGGATCGATCATTTTGCATCCATACCTACTCGCCATAACCCATGTGGGTAAGAGAAAAACTCATATATGAAAAAAATTTTCTCTATACAGTTCCTTTTAAAGGTTTCAAGATTCGCGTGGGCTTGAGCAGTTTGGTTTATCGAAAGGCTCTGCGGCTAAGCAAAGCATCGTTAAGTCACACGACTTCAGGACATGTGGTTAATCTGATATCCAACGATTTGGGGCAATTTGACAGCTTAGTTTATCATGGTCACTATTTGTGGGTAGGACCTTTGCAAACGATTCTAATAACTTATGTGATGTACCATGAGGTAGGTCCAACTCAACACTATTAATGAAGCTAAGAATATTTTATTTGTTTAGATTGGATTTCCTGCCGTACTTGGAGTCGCTTTTATGCTGCTCTTCATCCCATTAAATCTATACGTAGGAAAAGTATCGGCACGGCTGAGGGTAAAGTCGGTCCAGTGCACCGACGATCGAGTGCGTTTGATGAGCGAGATCATTACGGGCATCCAGGCGATTAAAATGTACGCCTGGGAGCTTCCGTTTGAGCGAATTGTGTCCTACATCCGCAAAAAGGAAGTTAATGTTAATCGACGTAGGGACTTCATTACAGGGATCATCTTATTCTTGTCGATCTTTGTCGCCCGTGTCTCTACATTTCTCAGCTTGGCGGGCTACGCTATTTTGGGCCATGTGCTTAATTCAGAAGTTGCCTTCCTAATCATCGCTTATTACAACATCCTGCGCATGTCGATGTCTATTTTCTTTGCCTTGGGCATTACTGAGACAGCGGATTTCCGGGTTTCCCTCAAACGAGTCCAAGCCTTCTTGCAATTGGAAGAGATGGATCAAATAACTACTGTGGAAGACCCAGAAGAGGATAAAGTTGAGGGCGAGGAAACTTTACTACTTTCATCCACTCCTCATACTAAGCTCGTATCTCGTCCTACGGAAGCAGAGCTTTATGTTTCTGGATTAACAGCAAAATGGGACCCCAAATCTCCAGAACGCACTCTGAATGAAGTAAGCTTGCAGATAAAATCGGGAACCTTACTGGCGGTTGTTGGTCTCACAGGCTCCGGTAAGTCCAGTTTGCTCCAAGCTATACTCGGGGAATTGCCCGTCTTGTCGGGTGAGATCAACAAGAGAGGATCCATATCGTATGCTGCCCAGGAACCCTGGCTCTTCTCTGGAACTGTTCGACAAAATATCCTCTTTGGACAGCCCATGGACCACCAAAGGTATTGGAAAGTGGTGGAGCATTGTTCTTTGAAGCGTGACTTCGACCTGCTTCCATTTAAGGACAAAACTATTGTGGGCGATCGAGGAGCTTCCCTTTCGGGAGGGCAGAAGGCAAGGATCAGTTTGGCCAGGGCGGTGTATCGGGAAGCCTCCATCTACCTCTTGGACGATCCACTCAGTGCGGTAGATACCCACGTAGCCCGCCACATTTTCGAGAAGTGCATCCGTGGATATCTGCGTGATCGTATCGTCATCCTGGTCACACATCAATTGCAGTTTATTCAGCAATGCGATGAGGTCATGGTGTTGGACAAGGGCCAAGCGGTGGCTGCGGGGTCTTTCGAATCCCTACGTAATTCGGGAGTCGACTTTGCAATACTCCTGAAACAAACAGAGAGCGATGGAACGGAAAAGGAATCAGAGGAGGTGCCAGAGGGACCTTCGCCATTGGAGATGCAAAGGAACCAGAGTGAGAGGTCCTTAAAGTCCTTGGGGGATCTCAATTCGGATGAAAAGAGCAATAAGCAAGAAAAGGGACAGGAGCACCAAGCCTCTGGCAAGGTCGGACTGGACGTGTACCTAAAATACATGAGGGCTGGCGGAGGCGTGACTGCTTTTTCGCTGATGCTTATAGCCTGGGCCATCTTCCAAGGACTTTCTTCGATGATTGACTTATTCCTGACCTACTGGTGAGAACTGAATACCATAAATGAAACATAAGTATTTCAAATTTATTTTTAGGGTCAATCACAACAAAGGCGAAAATAGTATGGAGGCTTCTGAAGGAAATGAGTATCAAACGCTCATTTGGCTGCAGGACATGGGCTGGTCGCTGGACCCCAAACATTTTGAAATCTTGGTGTATTTCTTGATAGTAGTTTTAACCAATGTGGCTTATCTTATTGCTATTATGATGCTGTTCAGGTTCACTATAGCGGCCTCTGTTAGGATGCATAATTCCATGTACAGAGGAATTTCCCGAGCTTCCATGTATTTTTTCAACACAAATCCTTCTGGCCAGATTCTGAATCGATTTTCCAAGGATTTGGTACAAATAGGTGAGGTTCTGCCGTGTGCCGTGCTTCACCTTTTGGAGAGTTTCTTTGCCCTAATGGGAGTTGCTACTATAATAGCCGTAGTAAATCCTATACTTCTCATTCCGACCATCGTCCTAGCCTTCCTTTTCTATCAGCTGCAAGTCTTTTATTTGAAAACCTCGCGGGATTTGAAACGGATTGAGGCCATAGGTAAGTGAGATCCCAAAACTATTAGTTAAATATTTAAGTTCTCGATTCCTCAGCTCGATCACCCGTCTATTCACATGTTACGGCATCCCTCTCCGGCTTGTCCACTATTCGGGCCTTTGAGTCTAGGCACCTCCTGGAACAGGAGTTCGATAGTTATCAGGACATGCACAGCTCAGCCCATTTCATGCTCTTAAGCTGCTCACGTGCTTTCGCTAATTGGCTGGATTTTTCTTGTGGAATTTACACTGCCATTGTAACGATCAGCTTCTCCTTCTTTCCACCAGAAAATGGAGCTCTGGTGGGACTGGCCATAACTCAGGTGAGACTCCAATAGCCTTTTAAGAAACTCATAATAGTCTATCCATTTTAACAGGCCATGCGCTTAGTAGATTATGTGCAGTGGGGATTGCGTCAATCCGCCGAAGTGGAGAACATTATGACTGCCGTGGAGCGAGTTGTGGAGTATGAGGAAATTGAACCGGAGGGTGACCTTGAGGCACCGGATGAGAAGAAGCCTCCAAAGTCTTGGCCAGAGGAGGGAAACATTGTCTTTGACGAGCTCAGTCTGCGCTACGTGCCCGACCCCAAGGGGGACAACGTCCTTAAGGCCCTCAGCTTTGAGATCAAGCCTCAGGAGAAGGTGGGCATCGTGGGTCGCACCGGGGCAGGAAAGTCGTCACTAATCAACGCCTTGTTCCGCTTGTCTTACAACGACGGAATCATCCTCATCGACAAGAGAGACACCGACGGAATGGGCCTGCATGATCTGCGTAGGAAGATCTCCATTATTCCCCAAGAGCCGGTTCTCTTCTCTGGTAGTATTCGATACAATTTGGATCCCTTTGAGGAGTACAGCGATGAGAAACTGTGGCGATCCCTAGAGGAGGTAAAGCTCAAAGAAGTAGTTGCAGAACTGCCATGCGGGCTACAGCACAAGATCACGGAGGGCGGCACCAATTTCAGTGTGGGTCAGCGTCAGTTGGTCTGCCTGGCCAGGGCCATTCTTCGGGAAAACCGTATTCTGCTAATGGACGAGGCTACCGCCAATGTAGATCCCCATACGGATGGCCTCATACAGGCCACCATTCGGAACAAGTTTAAGAAGTGCACAGTGCTCACGATAGCCCATCGCCTGCACACTATCATGGACTCTGACAAGGTGCTGGTCATGGACGCAGGTCGGGTGCTGGAGTTCGGCACACCCTACGAGCTGCTGACGGCGGCAGACTCCAAGGTGTTCCATGACATGGTGAAGCAGACGGGGCAGGCTACCTACGACGCGCTCCTCCACATTGCACAAAAGGTACGATCGTTTTAATAAACATTGGAAAACAATTTTTTCTAACTTATATTTCTTTAAATTTTTTTTCAGTCCTTCGAAAGCGGAAAAATTCTGACGGAAGCATCGCCTCTTCAGTTAAAAATTTAAAACTTTTGATAAAACGTTTAAAAATGTTGGGTTATCTTTATAATTGTGGATCAATTTGGACGTTTTTTCCCAAATTTGCTACACGTGCGAGTAAAAATATAATAATAACACTGATTATACTCATAAAACTCATAAAAAATATACTGTCTAGCCAAATTCGTCTGAGGTTGGTCGTTCTCTTACCTGGCTGCTACATGTTGATATGAGCAGAGCCTGAGTCTCTAGGTGACAAACGTAATGTTTCAAATGTGTCTTTATTTTGGTTATAGCTATTTATTATTATAGCTAAAATTTCCAAAGCAATAAGTAAAAGAAGACCATAGTTATAGTACTAATGGGAGAGCACTTAAAAACTAATACAAAACTTATCTACTTCGCGAGAGTAAGTGTTTCTGCCCAGTGCCGGATCTAGGAGGTGGAAAAAGGGGCAAGCACCCTTGGCGAAAAATTTGAGGGGCGCAAAATCGATCTTGACTTACACTGTATGTTTCCAAGGTTTATGTTTTCCCATGGCGCTTTGCATGTAAACACTCCCTACATGCCTCATAAATAAAATTGGCGTTGGGCAAATATGCAGTGCATGCCAAAACCACTATAACTCTGTAAAATCACATTTTAATCGCTGACTCTACTATTATCTGTGGACACCCACAAAACAGGGCCGGCTTTCAAATTTATCTATACTTTCCATCGAAAATGAAGTAGCAGCATCACTAGATAAAATTGAAATAAATGCTGAATTTCCGTCAATAAAGGCAAAAAATGTTATACTTTAGAAATAATATTTAATTTTCATACAAAAACATTAATTATGATGGTCTTTCACGTTGCACGAAACAAAATATTTATTATATAATAAAGTGTTTCATACATATGAGCATAATATAATTAATAAACCTTTCAATACCTAAAATACATATTTTTATTGTACTTTGATTGTACAATCTGTTACGTTCATAAGAAAGAGGGGTAGGGGCTGCAAATTTTTCACTTTGCCCCGGGCGCCAGAAACCCTAGATCCGCCACTGTTTCTGCCAACATGAAAGTTTAGATTTTTGGGAGGTTTGGTTGCTTTAGTTGGTTTCTGAACTCCCAGACACGCAGACGGTTCTTTGACTTCGAGATACGTTCATTCTCTATATATTTTTGAATTAAGTCAGGGTGGTTTTAAGTGCATAACTGAATCTTAAGTGTATCATTACTAATTAGATGAAATGCAATCAACTAATAAGAAATATCTTCCGGAAAATCCCCGGAAATATAACAATTTTATTGCAACGGCCTTTTTCTGGTAAATATATTTTCTATTTCATTAAAATGGATAATAAAATAAATGTTCAAATGTTGAATAAAGGTACACTATACCCACTTTTATGAAAGGACGAAAGGATACATTAGGTGCAAATGATTTATACAAGGTCCTAAAAGAGCACAAGTCTGGTAAGTTATATTAGATTATGATAACGACCTTTAAGAATCAGCTACATAATAAAGTTTTAGAGTTTCTTCATCGTAAAGTATAAGACAAGTCGTCTGGCAAAGATTAGAACTGTTTAGAACAATATCATTATTTAGCACACTTGGAAAAACGTATATTTCTCTCTTGTAGATTCCTTGGGAAACCAATTAGGTATCCTATGGGACCAAGATATGAAAACTTCTAAGGGTAAGCCCAGCCTTATAAGGGTTCTTCTGCGAAAGCATGGCTGGTACTTCGGGCTTCTCGGGCTCGTGTTGGTTTTCTTGGAGATTGTGCTCCGAGGACTGAATCCGCTTCTTCTGCGAGGCCTTATAAATCAATACAACCAAGATACGGGTTCTGAAACGAATGGAAGTGTTTACGCAGGCACACTAATCCTGTCCAGCATTTTAGGATCGATCATTATGCATCCATACCTGCTCGCAATGTCACATCTGGGTAAGAAAATCATATAGGTAAAAAATTTTCTCTATACAGTTCCTTTTAAAGGTTTCAAGATTCGCGTGGGCTTGAGCAGTTTGGTTTATCGAAAGGCTCTGCGGCTAAGCAAAGCATCGTTAAGTCACACCACGTCAGGACATGTGGTTAATCTGATATCCAACGATTTGGGACAATTTGACAGCATAGCTTATCGTGGTCACTACCTGTGGGTGGGACCTTTGCAAACGATTCTAATAACTTATGTGATGTACCATGAGGTAGGTTCAACTGAACACATTTTTGTTACTGAAGCTAAGAAAATTTAATTTATTCAGATTGGATTCCCTGCCGTACTTGGAGTCGCTTTTATGCTGCTCTTCATCCCATTAAATCTATACGTAGGAAAAGTATCGGCACGGCTGAGGGTAAAGTCGGTCCAGTGCACCGACGATCGAGTGCGTTTGATGAGCGAGATCATCACGGGCATCCAGGCGATTAAAATGTACGCCTGGGAGCTTCCGTTTGAGCGAATTGTGTCCTACATCCGGAAAAAGGAAATAAATGTCAACCGAAGTAGGAATTTCATTTCAGGGATTATTTACTCCTTGTCGGTCTTTGTCGCACCTGTCTCAACATTTCTCAGCTTAGCGGGATACGCTATGTTGACCCAGATGCTTAAATCAGAAGTTGCCTTCTTAATCCTCGCTTATTACAACATCCTGCAAATGACGATGTCTATTTTCTTTGCCTTGGGCATTACTGAGACGGCGGATTTCTGGGTTTCCCTCAAACGAGTCCAAGCCTTCTTGCAATTGGAAGAGATGGAACAAATAACTGCGGTGGAAGACCCAGAAGAGGATAAGGTTGAAGGCGAGGAAACTTTACTACTTTCATCCACTCCTCATACTAAGCTCGTATCTCGTCCTACGGAAGCAGAGCTTTACGTATCTGGATTAAAAGCCAAATGGGACCCCAAATCTCCAGAATGCACTCTGAATGAATTAAGCTTACAGATAAAATCGGGAACCTTACTGGCGGTTGTTGGTCTCACAGGTTCGGGTAAGTCCAGTTTGCTCCAAGCTATACTCGGGGAATTGCCCGTCTTGTCGGGTGAAATCAAGAAGAGAGGATCCATATCGTATGCTGCCCAGGAACCGTGGCTCTTCTCCGGAACTGTGCGCCAAAACATCCTCTTTGGACAGCCCATGGACCACCAAAGGTATTGGAAAGTGGTGGAGCATTGTTCTTTGAAGCGTGACTTCGACCTGCTTCCATTTAAGGACAAAACTATTGTGGGCGATCGAGGAGCTTCCCTTTCGGGAGGGCAGAAGGCGAGGATCAGTTTGGCCAGGGCCGTGTATCGGGAGGCTTCCATCTACCTCTTGGACGATCCACTCAGTGCGGTAGATACCCACGTAGCCCGCCACATTTTCGAGAAGTGCATCCGTGGATATCTGCGTGATCGTATCGTCATCCTGGTCACACATCAATTGCAGTTTATTCAGCAATGCGATGAGGTCATGGTGTTGGACAAGGGCCAAGCGGTGGCTGCGGGGTCTTTTGAATCGCTACGTGATTCGGGAGTCGACTTTGCAATACTCCTGAAACAAACAGAGAGCGATGGAACGGAAAAGAAATCGGAGGTGCCAGAGGGGCCTTCGCCATTGGAGATGCAAAGGAACCAGAGTGAGACGTCTTTAAAGTCGTTGGGGGATCTCAATTCGGATGAAAAGAGCAATAAGCAAGAAAAGGGACAGGAGAACCAAGCCTCTGGCAAGGTCGGACTGGACGTGTACCTAAAATACATGAGGGCTGGCGGAGGCGTGACTGCTTTTTCGCTGATGCTTATAGCCTGGGCCATCTTCCAAGGACTTTCTTCGATGACTGACTTATTCCTGACCCACTGGTGAGAATCAAATACCATAAATTAAATCTTACTATGTATTTCACATTTATTTTCAGGGTCAATCAGAACAAAGGCGAAAATAACTTGAAGGCTTCTGAAGAAAACCCGTATCCCATGCTCCTTTGGCTGCAGGACATGGGCTGGTCGCTGGAACCCAAAAATTTTGAAATCTTGGTGTATTTCTTGATAGTAGTACTAACCAATGTGGCTTATATTATGGCTATTATGATGCTGTTTAAGTGCACTATAGCGGCCTCTGTTAGGATGCATAATTCCATGTACAGAGGAATTTCCCGAGCTTCCATGTATTTTTTCAACACAAATCCTTCTGGCCAGATTCTGAATCGATTTTCAAAGGACTTAGTACAGATAGGGGAGGTCCTGCCGAAGGCCGTGCTCGATCTGTTGGAGAGTTTCTTCGCCCTAATGGGAGTGGCTACTATAATAGCCGTAGTAAATCCTATACTCCTCATTCCGACCATCGTCCTAGCCTTCCTCTTCTATCAGCTGCGCGTTTTTTATTTGAAAACCTCACGGGATTTGAAACGGATTGAGGCCATAGGTAAGTGAGATCTCAAGCCTATTAGTTAAATATTTTAGTTCTGGATTCCTCAGCTCGATCACCTGTCTACTCACATGTCACGGCATCCCTCTCCGGCTTGTCCACTATTCGGGCCTTTGAGTCTAGGCACCTCCTGGAACAGGAGTTCGATAGAAACTCATAATAGTCTATCCATTTTAACAGGCCATGCGCTTAGTAGATTATGTGCAGTGGGGATTGCGTCAATCCGCCGAAGTGGAGAACATTATGACTGCAGTGGAGCGAGTGGTGGAGTATGAGGAAATTGAGCCGGAGGGTGACCTTGAGGCACCGGATGAAAAGAAGCCTCCAAAGTCTTGGCCAGAGGAAGGAAACATTGTCTTTGACGAGCTAAGTCTGCGCTACGTGCCGGACCCCAAGGCGGACAATGTCCTTAAGGCCCTCAGCTTTGAGATCAAACCTCAGGAGAAGGTGGGCATCGTGGGTCGCACCGGGGCAGGAAAGTCATCACTAATCAACGCCTTGTTCCGCTTGTCTTACAACGACGGAATCATCCTCATCGACAAGAGAGACACCGACGGAATGGGCCTGCATGATCTGCGTAGGAAGATCTCCATAATACCGCAAGAGCCGGTTCTCTTCTCTGGTAGTATTCGATACAATTTGGATCCCTTTGAGGAGTACAGCGATGAGAAACTGTGGCGATCCCTAGAGGAGGTAAACCTTAAGGAATTAGTTGCAGAACTGCCATGCGGGCTGCAGAGCAAGATCACGGAGGGCGGCACCAATTTCAGTGTGGGTCAGCGTCAGTTGGTCTGCCTGGCCAGGGCCATTCTTCGGGAAAACCGTATTCTGGTAATGGACGAGGCTACCGCCAATGTAGATCCCCATACGGATGGCCTCATACAGGCCACCATTCGGAACAAGTTTAAGAAGTGCACAGTGCTCACGATAGCCCATCGCCTGCACACTATCATGGACTCTGACAAGGTGCTGGTCATGGACGCAGGTCGGGTGCTGGAGTTCGGCACTCCCTACGAGCTGCTGACGGCGGCAGACTCCAAGGTGTTCCATGACATGGTGAAGCAGACGGGGCAGGCTACCTACGACGCGCTCCTCCACATTGCACAAAAGGTACGATCGTTTTAATAAACATTGGAAAACAATTTTTTCTAACTTATATTTCTTTAAATTTTTTTTCAGTCCTTCGAAAGCGGAAAAAATCTGACGGAAGCATCGCCTCTTCAGTTAAAAATTTAAAACTTTTGATAAAACGTTTAAAAATGTTGGGTTATCTTTATAATTGTGGATCAATTTGGACGTTTTTTCCCAAATTTGCTACACGTGCGAGTAAAAATATAATAATAACACTGATTATACTCATAAAACTCATAAAAAATATACTGCCTAGCCAAATTCGTCTGAGGTTGGTCGTTCTCTTACCTGGCTGCTACATGTTGATATGAGCAGAGCCTGAGAGTCTCTAGGTGACAAATGTTTCAAATTTAATGTCAAACGTAATGTTTCAAATGTGTCTTTATTTTGGTTATAGCTATTTATTATTATAGCTAAAATTTCCAAAGCAATAAGTAAAAGAAGACCATAGTTATAGTACTAATGGGAGAGCACTTAAAAACTAATACAAAACTTATCTACTTCGCGAGAGTAAGTGTTTCTGCCCAGTGCCGGATCTAGGAGGTGGAAAAAGGGGCAAGCACCCTTGGCGAAAAATTTGAGGGGCGCAAAATCGATCTTGACTTACACTGTATGTTTCCAAGGTTTATGTTTTCCCATGGCGCTTTGCATGTAAACACTCCCTACATGCCTCATAAATAAAATTGGCGTTGGGCAAATATGCAGTGCATGCCAAAACCACTATAACTCTGTAAAATCACATTTTAATCGCTGACTCTACTATTATCTGTGGACACCCACAAAACAGGGCCGGCTTTCAAATTTATCTATACTTTCCATCGAAAATGAAGTATTTTATCTAGTGATGCTGCACTAGATAAAATTGAAATAAATGCTGAATTTCCGTCAATAAAGGCAAAAAATGTTATACTTTAGAAATAATATTTAATTTTCATACAAAAACATTAATTATGATGGTCTTTCACGTTGCACGAAACAAAATATTTATTATATAATAAAGTGTTTCATACATATGAGCATAATATAATTAATAAACCTTTCAATACCTAAAATACATATTTTTATTGTACTTTGATTGTACAATCTGTTACGTTCATAAGAAAGAGGGGTAGGGGCTGCAAATTTTTCACTTTGCCCCGGGCGCCAGAAACCCTAGATCCGCCACTGTTTCTGCCAACATGAAAGTTTAGATTTTTGGGAGGTTTGGTTGCTTTAGTTGGTTTCTGAACTCCCAGACACGCAGACGGTTCTTTGACTTCGAGATACGTTCATTCTCTATATATTTTTGAATTAAGTCAGGGTGGTTTTAAGTGCATAACTGAATCTTAAGTGTATCATTACTAATTAGATGAAATGCAATCAACTAATAAGAAATATCTTCCGGAAAATCCCCGGAAATATAACAATTTTATTGCAACGGCCTTTTTCTGGTAAATATATTTTCTATTTCATTAAAATGGATAATAAAATAAATGTTCAAATGTTGAATAAAGGTACACTATACCCACTTTTATGAAAGGACGAAAGGATACATTAGGTGCAAATGATTTATACAAGGTCCTAAAAGAGCACAAGTCTGGTAAGTTATATTAGATTATGATAACGACCTTTAAGAATCAGCTACATAATAAAGTTTTAGAGTTTCTTCATCGTAAAGTATAAGACAAGTCGTCTGGCAAAGATTAGAACTGTTTAGAACAATATCATTATTTAGCACACTTGGAAAAACGTATATTTCTCTCTTGTAGATTCCTTGGGAAACCAATTAGGTATCCTATGGGACCAAGATATGAAAACTTCTAAGGGTAAGCCCAGCCTTATAAGGGTTCTTCTGCGAAAGCATGGCTGGTACTTCGGGCTTCTCGGGCTCGTGTTGGTTTTCTTGGAGATTGTGCTCCGAGGACTGAATCCGCTTCTTCTGCGAGGCCTTATAAATCAATACAACCAAGATACGGGTTCTGAAACGAATGGAAGTGTTTACGCAGGCACACTAATCCTGTCCAGCATTTTAGGATCGATCATTATGCATCCATACCTGCTCGCAATGTCACATATGGGTAAGTAAAAAACTCATTTTGGTAAAAAGTTTGCTCTATACAGTTCCTTTTTAAGGTTTCAAGATTCGCGTGGGCTTGAGCAGTTTGGTTTATCGAAAGGCTCTGCGGCTAAGCAAAGCATCGTTAAGTCACACCACGTCAGGACATGTGGTTAATCTGATATCCAACGATTTGGGACAATTTGACAGCATACCTTATCATGGTCACTACCTGTTGGTGGGTCCTTTGCAAACGATTCTAATAACTTATGTGATGTACCATGAGGTAGGTCCAACTCAACACTATTAATGAAGCTAAGAATATTTTATTTGTTTAGATTGGATTTCCTGCCGTACTTGGAGTCGCTTTTATGCTGCTCTTCATTCCAATTAATCTATACGTAGGAAAAGTATCGGCACGGCTGAGGGTAAAGTCGGTCCAGTGCACCGACGATCGAGTGCGTTTGATGAGCGAGATCATCACGGGCATCCAGGCGATTAAAATGTACGCCTGGGAGCTTCCGTTTGAGCGAATTGTGTCCTACATCCGGAAAAAGGAAATAAATGTCAACAGAAGTAGGAATTACATTACAGGGATCATCTACTCCTTGTCGGTCTTTGTCGCACCTGTCTCAACATTTCTCAGCTTAGCGGGATACGCTATGTTGACCCAGATGCTTAAATCAGAAGTTGCCTTCTTAATCCTCGCTTATTACAACATCCTGCGCATGTCGATGTCTATTTACTTCGCCGTGGGCATTACTGAGACGGCGGATTTCTGGGTTTCCCTAAAACGAGTCCAGGCCTTCTTGCAATTGGAAGAGATGGATCAAATAACTACTGTGGAAGACCCAGAAGAGGATAAGGTTGAGGGCGAGGAAACGACACTACTTTCATCCACTCCTCACACTAAGCTCGTACCTCGTCCATTGGGGGCTGAGCTTTATGTTTATGGATTAACAGCAAAATGGGACCCCAAATCTCCAGAATGCACTCTGAATGAATTAAGCTTGCAGATAAAATCGGGCACCTTACTGGCGGTTGTTGGTCTCACAGGTTCGGGTAAGTCCAGTTTGCTCCAAGCTATACTCGGGGAATTGCCCGTCTTGTCGGGTGAAATCAAGAAGAGAGGATCCATATCGTATGCTGCCCAGGAACCGTGGCTCTTCTCCGGAACTGTGCGCCAAAACATCCTCTTTGGACAGCCCATGGACCACCAAATGTATAGGAAAGTGGTGAAGGATTGTGCTTTAGAGCGTGACTTCGACCTGCTTCCATTTAAGGACCAAACTATTGTGGGCGATCGAGGAGCTTCCCTTTCGGGAGGGCAGAAGGCGAGGATCAGTTTGGCCAGGGCCGTGTATCGGGAGGCTTCCATCTACCTCTTGGACGATCCACTCAGTGCGGTAGATCCCCACGTAGCCCGCCACATTTTCGAGAAGTGCATCCGTGGATATCTGCGTGATCGTATCGTCATCCTGGTCACACATCAATTGCAGTTTATTCAGCAATGCGATGAGGTCATGGTGTTGGACAAGGGCCAAGCGGTGGCTGCGGGGTCTTTTGAATCGCTACGTGATTCGGGAGTCGACTTTGCAATACTCCTGAAACAAACAGAGAACGATGGAACGGAAAAGAAATCAGAGGAGGTGCCAGAGGGACCTTCGCCATTGGAGATGCAAAGGAACCAGAGTGAGACGTCTTTAAAGTCGTTGGGGGATCTCAATTCGGATGAAAAGAGCAATAAGCAAGAAAAGGGACAGGAGTACCAAGCCTCTGGCAAGGTCGGACTGGACGTGTACCTAAAATACATGAGGGCTGGCGGAGGCGTGACTGCTTTTTCGCTGATGCTTATAGCCTGGGCCATCTTCCAAGGACTTTCTTCGATGATTGACTTATTCCTGACCTACTGGTGAGAACTGAATACCATAAATGAAACATTAGTATTTCAAATTTATTTTTAGGGTCAATCACAACAAAGGCGAAAATAGTATGGAGGCTTCCGAAGGAAAAGAGTATCAGACGCTCATTTGGCTGCAGGACATGGGCTGGTCGCTGGAACCCAAAAATTTTGAAATCTTGGTGTATTTCTTGATAGTAGTTCTAACCAATGTGGCTTATATTATGGCTATTATGATGCTGTTTAAGTGCACTATAGCGGCCTCTGTTAGGATGCATAATTCCATGTACAGAGGAATTTCCCGAGCTTCCATGTATTTTTTCAACACAAATCCTTCTGGCCAGATTCTGAATCGATTTTCTAAGGACTTAGTACAGATAGGGGAGGTCCTGCCGAAGGCCGTGCTCGATCTGTTGGAGAGTTTCTTCGCCCTAATGGGAGTGGCTACTATAATAGCCGTAGTAAATCCTATACTCCTAATTCCGACCATCGTCCTAGCCTTCCTCTTCTATCAGCTGCGCGTTTTTTATTTGAAAACCTCACGGGATTTGAAACGGATTGAGGCCATAGGTAAGTGAGATCTCAAGCCTATTAGTTAAATATTTTAGTTCTGGATTCCTCAGCTCGATCACCTGTCTACTCACATGTCACGGCATCCCTCTCCGGCTTGTCCACTATTCGGGCCTTTGAGTCTAGGCACCTCCTGGAACAGGAGTTCGATAGTTATCAGGACATGCACAGCTCAGCCCATTTCATGCTATTAAGCTGCTCACGTGCTTTCGCTAATTGGCTGGATTTCTCTTGTGGAATTTACACTGCCATTGTAACGATCAGCTTCTCCTTTTTTCCACCAGAAAATGGAGCTCTGGTGGGACTGGCCATAACTCAGGTGAGACTCCAATAGCCTTTTAAGAAACTCATAATAGTCTATCCATTTTAACAGGCCATGCGCTTAGTAGATTATGTGCAGTGGGGATTGCGTCAATCCGCCGAAGTGGAGAACATTATGACTGCAGTGGAGCGAGTGGTGGAGTATGAGGAAATTGAGCCGGAGGGTGACCTTGAGGCACCGGATGAAAAGAAGCCTCCAAAGTCTTGGCCAGAGGAAGGAAACATTGTCTTTGACGAGCTAAGTCTGCGCTACGTGCCGGACCCCAAGGCGGACAATGTCCTTAAGGCCCTCAGCTTTGAGATCAAACCTCAGGAGAAGGTGGGCATCGTGGGTCGCACCGGGGCAGGAAAGTCATCACTAATCAACGCCTTGTTCCGCTTGTCTTACAACGACGGAATCATCCTCATCGACAAGAGAGACACCGACGGAATGGGCCTGCATGATCTGCGTAGGAAGATCTCCATAATACCGCAAGAGCCGGTTCTCTTCTCTGGTAGTATTCGATACAATTTGGATCCCTTTGAGGAGTACAGCGATGAGAAACTGTGGCGATCCCTAGAGGAGGTAAACCTTAAGGAATTTGTTGCAGAACTGCCATGCGGGCTGCAGAGCAAGATCACGGAGGGCGGCACCAATTTCAGTGTGGGTCAGCGTCAGTTGGTCTGCCTGGCCAGGGCCATTCTTCGGGAAAACCGTATTCTGGTAATGGACGAGGCTACGGCCAATGTAGATCCCCATACGGATGGCCTCATACAGGCCACCATTCGGAACAAGTTTAAGAAGTGCACAGTGCTCACGATAGCCCATCGCCTGCACACTATCATGGACTCTGACAAGGTGCTGGTCATGGACGCAGGTCGGGTGCTGGAGTTCGGCACACCCTACGAGCTGCTGACGGCGGCAGACTCCAAGGTGTTCCATGACATGGTGAAGCAGACGGGGCAGGCTACCTACGACACATTGCTTGAGATCGCACGAGCAACTCACTCGAACTAGTGTTTTTTTTTAGAAAAAAGTATTTATTTTTATTTGGAAAAAGGAGGCTACATATACATTTGATAAAACCTATAGACTCTATAGTATAGAGTTTATTGTAGAAAATAAGCAAACACTGTTGTAGCTGTTGATATAAAAAAAATTAAAAGCCTTAAATACGATATAATGTTATTTGAAAACGGGTATATCCTCTGGATTTTGTTAAAATGTTAAATAAAATCCCAAGTCGATGGGAAAAGTCTCTCAAGTTTAATTTTTACACTCTCTTACAAAATGTTTAAAATGTGAGCAAACAAACGAGCTTAGCTTCAACTCCAGTTGAAACCACAATGAACTCCAATAAACTAGACAAAACCGGATATATATGTACATGCAATATTATGAAAATTATGAAAATATTATGAAATTTATTATTAAGCCTAAACAGTTAAGGCTGAGGCTATTACTTAAATAATTTTGTAAATATGCATAATTATTTTGGGGGAGAGGCTCTAGTTTTATTTTTTTTTTTTCAAATAAGAAGGAGTTGGGATATGCGGAAATAGATTTTTAAATACCGCGTTTCATTAATTTCAAGGCACAAGTTCATGGTTAAAGTATAAATATCTCATAGATACACTTCAACATGTAGATACAAATATATTTTTACATAGATACAAAGATAACCAAATGCATGTGCGTGGTTTATACGATATCTTATGAAACATCTGATTTTGACCAACAACATTTTATATTAACAATTTATATTTAAAACTTTTTTTTTGTAAAGATAACCTTTAAGTTTTTTTGTATCAAATTCGAGAATTCATTACAAGAACGCCGTATAAACCTTGTTACAAACGTATGGTTGTGATGGCGTCAGCTGGTCGAACAGCTGATTCGGTGCTGGACGGTCTGTTTGGTTTCGTTTCGTTTGCGAGTCGCGACCATTGAACAGAATGATTGGAAAATCGGGGCGTCGCGGACGGCTCAAGTGAATTGTTTTTTGCTCAACTATCAATGGAAATTTTTGCATTCTGATCAATCACGTGGCTCAATCCTGATGCAGCATCGCATACGCTGCTCTGCATTGATAAATCCCATAATCAAAACAATAACAATTGCTGTGATTTTGTGAATGTTGTGGCAAAGTGAAGCTTTAGCTTGTTTAATTCTTTCTGCAAGCTTGTGAAATAGTAGCTCGTAATTTACATAACCATGGAGGCAAATAAATTGCCACCCAATCCGCGCGAATCGGCCGGTATATTATCCTCATTAATGTTCTGGTACGCAAATGTTTCCGTTAAAAGTGTGGGTGATGTGTGTGTGGGGTGTGTTGGTGTTATCACATGCCCATGTATAGCTTAGTACCTGCCGGCGAATCTCAATTATAAAAATGTGACATCTGAAATCTGAAATACTGTCATCCGAAGACAACTGTTATCGGATACGCCTTCATTGTTCGTAGCATTATTTATAGTTTCTGATTGTTGCGAAATTGATTTACATAATGCCTCTTCTCTTCCAGCTTTGCCCTGCCCATTCTTTTCAAGGGACGCAAGCAGCGGCTCCAAGCAACCGATCTGTACAAAACCTTGGAAGAGCACCGGGCCCAGAAACTGGGAGATGAATTCTTTCGTACCTGGGAGGATGAAGTGGCGCGATGCCGCCGCAAAGAGACGGATTCCAAATCCAGGAGGGAACCGAGTATCCTAAGGGTCATTGGACGTGTCTTTGGTGGGCAGCTCCTCATATCTGGCTTCAACATCGCTATCCTTGAGCTCGGCAGCAGGTAAGTCCTGACCTTATCAGCCGATAAGAAATTTATTCTAATTAATCACTTAATTTTAGGGCCACTGTGCCTCTCCTTTTGGCCGGGCTGATAGCGGAGTTCACTGAACACGGAAATGGAAGCTCCACCGCAGCACAGATCTATGCCATACTCCTGATAGTGTGCATTTTGGCCAGTGTCCTCCTCACGCATCCATATATGATGGGTATGATGGTAAGAAACCCCAAACCACTAGGCGATTGGATCAAAATATCTTTCTTACGGTTACGAAATTATAGTTTCAAATATTCATTAGATCCGATCTATCATCATTCTGTACTTGGCAATGTTTACCATAGATGTTGATAACTTATCTTTACATTTATATTAATAATTGAGCACCTATTATCACAACTTCAAGTGCACATGCAATAGAAAACCGCGTTTAGTTAGAAAAAGGCCTTGGAAAAAATATAAACATAGATAATATTAAAAAAGTTATTATTAGTATTGGCTAAAAAAAAGCCCTGGTTTCGACAAAGTCTATTATGTTTCAAGGTTCTCAATAATTATATTAATAAACATACGATAATGTACCTTCTGTAAGCTTAAAAGATTAAAAATGTTTAAGACTTTAATGGTTTCTGTTGAGAATGTTTGATAAAATATAAAGGTTATTTTGTTTCATAAAGTAAAGCTTAAAATTGATCCAATTTATCCTAATTACTTTAGTAAAGACCACTAATTATAATTTAATATTTTACAGCATTTGGCCATGAAGATGAGGGTGGCAGTAAGCGCCGCCATTTATCGCAAGGCTATTCGACTGAGTCGCACTGCCATGGGGGATACCACCATTGGGCAGGTCGTCAACCTGCTCTCCAACGATCTCAATCGTTTCGATCGTGCCCTCATCCACTTCCACTTTCTGTGGCTAGGACCGTTGGAGCTGCTGATTTCGTCCTATTTTCTTTACCAGCAAATTGGAGTGGCCTCCTTCTACGGCATCAGCATCCTGATCCTGTACCTGCCGTTGCAAACCTACCTGAGCCGAGTTACCTCTAAGCTACGCCTGCAAACTGCTCTGCGAACGGATAAGCGCGTGCGGATGATGAACGAGATCATCTCGGGAATTCAGGTGATCAAGATGTACACCTGGGAACGACCCTTTGGACGACTAATTGAACAGCTTCGGCGCAGTGAGATGAGCTCCATTCGGCAGGTGAATCTGCTGCGCGGTGTTCTGCTCTCCTTCGAGATTACGCTGGGACGCATTGCCATCTTTGTGAGCCTTCTGGGATTTGTACTGATGGGCGGCGAGCTGACGGCTGAGCGCGCATTCTGTGTTACCGCCTTTTACAACATCCTCAGGCGCACAGTGTCTAAGTTCTTCCCCAGCGGAATGTCTCAGGTAGCCGAGTTGCTGGTTTCCCTACGTCGCATCCGGGACTTCATGATGCGGGAAGAATCCAACATCATAGATCTTACAGAGGAAGTTGACGAAAAGCCTGATGAAGAGCAGAAATTGCTTGGTAAAAACGTGGACATTGGAGTGCAAAATGGAAAGACACCGGACACCCTTGTCAGCATAGAAGGCTTGAAAGCTCGATGGGATAAGGAACACCACGATCCGGTGTTGGACAGCATTAATATGTCCCTCAAACGTGGCCAGTTAGTGGCCGTAATTGGTCCCGTTGGATCTGGCAAGTCCAGTCTAGTACAAGCTATTCTGGGGGAACTCCCACCCGAAGCTGGAAGCGTCCACGTTCATGGCAGATACTCCTATGCCTCCCAGGAGCCTTGGCTCTTTAATGCCTCGGTACGTGACAATATTCTGTTTGGGCTGCCCATGGACAAATACCGCTACCGTACTGTGATCAAAAAGTGTGCCTTAGAGCGCGACTTGGAGCTTCTAAACGGCGATGGAACTATAGTGGGAGAACGAGGTGCCTCCCTATCCGGTGGCCAGAGGGCAAGAATCAGCTTGGCTAGAGCTGTGTACCGCAAGGCGGATGTTTATCTTCTGGATGATCCCCTCAGTGCAGTGGACACTCACGTGGGTCGGCATCTCTTCGACGAATGCATGCGCGGCTACCTTGGAGACAAACTAGTGGTTTTGGTCACGCATCAACTGCAATTTCTGGAGCACGCTGATCTAATAGTGATCATGGACAAGGGAAAGGTCACGGCCAGCGGAAGTTATAAGGAAATGATTAAAAGTGGCCTGGACTTTGCCCAACTGTTGGCCGAAAGCACTCAAAATGCAGAAGATCATGAACTGGAAAAGGCTAATGGGTTATCGAGACAAAGCAGCACTCGGAGCACTGACAGCACGGTCGACAGTGGCTCTTCCCATGAGTCTTTGGTAGAAAAGAACAAGGAGCCACTTAAACCGAAAGGAGCCACCGGACCTGTCCAGGAATCGACTAGTGGTGGAAAAATTGGAATAGACATGTACAAAAAGTACTTCTCCGCCGGTTGCGGATGCATAATATTTGGCCTGCTGGTCCTTCTCTGCGCTGGAACCCAGATCCTGGCTTCTGGAGGGGATTATTTCCTTTCCTACTGGTAAGTGATTCTAAAAAATGTTACAATTTAAAAATCTTTGTCAAAATATGATCGTTTCAGGGTGAAAAACAAAGCATCTTCATCTTCTTCGTCATCGCTGGATATTTACTACTTTACTGCCATTAATGTCGGACTTGTTATCTGTGCCTTGCTCCGCACTCTGCTCTTCTTCAATGTGACCATGCACTCCTCTACGGAGCTGCACAACTCCATGTTCCGAGCCATCTCCCGCACCGCTCTCTATTTCTTTCACACCAATCCGTCGGGTCGCATCCTCAACCGCTTCGCCATGGACCTGGGACAGGTGGACGAAGCTCTGCCCGCTGTTATGCTGGACTGCATCCAGATTTTCCTCACGCTGACGGGCGTACTGTGTGTGCTATGCATCTCCAATCCCTGGTATCTGATCAACACGTTCGTCATGCTACTAGCATTTTATTACTGGCGGGACGTCTATTTGATGACCTCTCGGGATGTGAAGCGCGTGGAGGCAGTTGCCCGATCGCCCATGTACTCCCATTTCAGTGCTACGCTGGGAGGCCTGCCTACCATTCGAGCCATGGGAGCCCAACGAACTCTGATCGCTCAATACGACAACTACCAGGACCTGCAAAGCTCCGGTTACTATACGTTCGTGACCACCAGTCGGGCATTTGGCTACTACCTTGACCTGTTCTGCGTTGCCTATGTTATATCCGTGATTTTGAACAGCTATTTCAACCCACCGCTAGGTAATCCCGGACAGATTGGTCTCGCCATTACCCAAACGCTGAGCATGACGGGTATGGTGCAGTTTGGAATGCGTCAGTCCGCCGAACTGGAGAACTCGATGACATCCGTAGAGCGGGTTCTGGAGTACAACGACCTTAAATCCGAGGGTGAATTCACCTCGCCGGCTGACAAACAGCCGCCTAAGAGTTGGCCTGAAGAGGGAGCGGTTGTGGCCAAGAACCTCAGCCTAAGATACATTCCTGATCCCACAGCTTCTTATGTCCTCCGGGGCCTGAACTTTGTGATCAAGCCCCGTGAAAAAGTGGGCATCGTGGGACGAACTGGGGCGGGAAAGTCTTCTCTGATCAACGCCCTTTTCCGGCTCTCTTACAACGAGGGGGCCATACTCATAGACGAACGGGACACAAACGCTATGGGTCTGCATGATCTGCGAAGCAAGCTCTCGATTATTCCCCAGGAACCTGTTTTATTTTCTGGTACTATGCGCTACAATTTGGATCCATTCGAACAGTATCCTGATGAAAAGCTGTGGCAGGCTCTGGAAGGGGTAAGATTTTACAATTTTGATGAAAAGAAAAAAACTAACAAAAATTCTTTAGGTCCATTTGAAGGAGGAAATCTCCGAGCTCCCAACAGGTCTGCAGAGCAGTATTTCCGAAGGCGGCACCAACTTCAGCGTGGGTCAGCGCCAGTTGGTCTGCCTGGCCAGGGCCATTCTTCGAGAAAACCGCATCCTGGTGATGGACGAGGCCACGGCCAATGTGGACCCCCAGACAGACGCCCTCATCCAGGCCACCATTCGGAACAAGTTCAAGGAGTGCACCGTGCTGACAATAGCCCATCGCCTGCACACGATCATGGACTCGGACAAGGTGCTGGTCATGGACGCAGGTCAGGTTGTGGAGTTCGGTTCGCCATATGAACTGCTTACGGAGTCGGACAGCAAAGTGTTCCACGGGATGGTCATGCAGACGGGGAAGACAAGTTTTGATCATCTTTTAAAAATTGCACAAGATGTAAGTAAAAAAATTGATAAACAATACAATAAAATATTTAATTAATTTTTTATTTGCAGGCCAAGGAAAAACATCTTAAAAGCGAATAAGGACGCATTTATTTTAAACCATAACGGGTCTTTTACTTGTGTAAATAAAAAACGGATATAAAAAATGGTACTTAAAACAAGAGGCAAAAACTTAAAAAAAATTTAAACATGACAATATTAATATTATATAGGATACAGGAAAACAAGTGAATATTTTTGTATATTTAAATAAAAAGTTCTAAAAAATATAAAAATTTTATTTCAATGTTTTTCTAAAAAGTTTTAATATAATTTGTTTATTTAAAACACTCTAAGGCATGGCGCTCGTCACCTACTTGGCTTGGAATAAGTCTGGGAACAAAACAAAAAGTTTTACAACACTACTTTTTCATTCACTTTGTATCGCAGAAGGTTGGCAACGCGAATTCACTTCGGCGCCAAATTTAAAATAATGGGTTAAGAAAAATAAGTAGATTAGTAAAATATAATATACATAATATAATACAAAATATAATTTCTTGTATTTTATATTAGTTTAAATGATTATATTATTAAACGCATATTTGCGTGCGTTTATAACAGTTTTATATAAGTATTATACTTAGTTTTTGTTTATTTTATTCGTAGCTTTCATGTGGCATGACAGCTTCTTTTCGACACAATTTAAATAAAATATTTTTATGTGAATATGTGAATAAAATGAAGAAATCTGAAGAAATCGATTACATTTATATTCTCTTCTTTTATTTCTATGTATGTATATATATCTTGAAAACCCATCTGGACAATATTTCACATCATTGGAAATATTTTTACACCAAATCAGAAACGTGACTTTCCAAAATTTATCAAATTTCAGATATTGCAATATTGAAATATGTATTATTAAAGTTGTTGAAAGAAAATTAAGTTTTCTGGACCCCAATTTCTTGAGTTTGCCGTGACAACCTATTGCGTCGAATTATTGAATAAATAGTGCCACACGCCGAAAGGGTCCGGAATCCGGAGCGCAAAATGAATTATACAACATGCCACGATACTAGGGGAGTTGGGGGGTGGCAGGAAGCTTGATTTTGTCCGGGAGGACGCGACAGTGTTCCCTCACCACACACCCAAAACAGAGCACGTGACACCCCACATGGCCCCCAGTCATAAAGTTTCTGGCCGTCCTGAGCTCATCATCGGCTTCCCTGCGTGCGTTCTCAACTCAACGCAACGCAACCCAACTGAACTCAACTCGACTCGACAGGATTCGATTCCAGACAATCTGTGGCCTAGCCCAGCTTATAAATGATGCACAAGCAGTGGAAGTTGGCTGGATGTGAGTGGGCGGGGTGTTTCAAGTGGGCGGAGTGAACTTTTCAGTTCGAGACTTCAACGCTTCGATTGTCGAGCCGTAATTCAACGCCATTTACGTGACCCCCACACCCACACCCATACCCATGGCGCCGCATGCTGTCCGGGAATGATTGCTCCCATGCACCACCACGGGTGGTGGCGCCAGACGAGGCGGGGTCTCTGGGTTTTTGGCTGCATCAAGGATACCGTCCAACTTTTGACATAGAGCTCCGGAAATTCTTTTCCAAGGATGGCGAATGGGTGCCTGTGCGATGACTACGCTGGACTGGATGGTCAAAAATAGTTAGAGGTCCTGGACAAGGCCTGACTGGTAGTTACATAAGCTTTAAATAATTAAAAAATTAACTCAATAGCCTAGCTCCACACCTTTTATTTCAAAGTCACTTATTAGAATGCCTCTCCAGGATGTGAAACAAAATTAAAATTTCTCAAAAATTACAATTGTAAAAATTTTAATTCGTATTATTTAATTCCATCTCCGTCCATTGCGATGCCGCAGGATACGGTGCAAGAGACGTTCGATCGCCTGACGGAGCTTCCAGGTGTGATGGGTGCCATTCTGGTGGACGGAGCCGGTACTGTCGTGCGGACCAACCTAAACGAGACAGCCAGTCGGATGTACGCCAACCGGTTGGGTCAACTGATTTCGATGGGCCGCTCCGTGATCCGTGACATGGAGCCCGGCGACGATCTCACCTACGTGCGTTTGCGGACTCGCAAGCAGGAGCTGATGGTGGCCACCGAAAACCAGCACACGATCATCGTCATACAGGATGCCCAGTCACTGGACCTGTCCCGGCGGAGCACTTCCATCTCGACACGCAGCAGTACAAATCCCGATCGTGGCAGTATTAGTTGAGGAGGAGTTTACGGACTATAGGAAGCCCAGGACCTCGAGGAAAACAAAGTGCGCAGTTGCACGTCATGCGGGCAGCATAAACAAAATGACATAAACAAGCTGCGCCAGCGGGGCAACCGGATGAGAAGTCCTTGCACGGACGCGCTTACAAATCCCGAGCACAGAAGTGAAATTGTGAACCGAACAGGGCATCGCTAAAAAAACCGGGCAAGAATAAAATCCACATCCAGGCGGGGTGTTCGAATACTCTTCTTTGAAATAGGTTTATTTTTGGGGTTAAGATCAAGGTATTAGGAAATTATTGTATAGATATTTCTAACAAATGTCAAGACTTTTCTTATTTATTGGTTCTTATTGAAGATAAGAGGTCTTATAGAAGACTCACATAAAATACAGCCCCTTAATATTAAATTCAATAGTTTTTCTTTTTAGTATTACAAGTTAAAAATAGTTTTCCCATCTCTTAGAAATTTTTTAAAGGGTATTTGAGGACTTTTTCAATATTTTTGATGCTCCCTTTTTTTTTGGGTAGCTGGCAGCAACCGACTGCCGTCACGCCATCAAGCATTCATGCCAGCAATAGCAACAACTACAACAAGGAGACCTCGCAAAGCAGCCTGTCGCCTGCACACTTACACTCGCACACAACGAAAAACATACAGACGCAAACTCAGACACAGACACACAAACCCACACCCACACCCCAACCGCCACGCTGTCCTGGTAGCCGGGCAGCGCGCCAAGCTTTACACGCCTCCGCACGCGTCACACGAAAGCACGAAACCAATTTAAGCACCCACATTCTCTCACCCAATTAGTCGCGCACAGCCCACCCGGACCCACACCACAGCATACGCCTCGTTCCACCCAACTCAGCCGCCCAGCCAGGACCCACGCCCTCCCCCGCTCCTGGCGTTCTGCCCACGCACCCAGTGTCGGGCTTGTTGTCGTCCTCGTCCTCGAGTCGAGTGGGGAGTCGAGTCGTTATCCTCGCGTGCGCACGCTGCATACTTTTTGGCTGAGCTCGCTTATAGGATATCAAGGGGTCTATTGGTATCCAAAGAGGTATTTATCATACAGAGAGATGGTATTAAAAATTTAATATTTTAATATAAGAGTTTAATACTAGTATTTCTATGATTAATCCTTCTTTCCTTTATTATCTTTTATTTTTAAGATTCGATTTAATAACTAAACTTGATAAACGAAACCATAATATAGAAATTCTTTTAATCTATCTATTGTTAGTTTTATATTTATTAGGTCATGGGTATCTGAGAGTCCTTAGCCATCCTTCCTTGAAAGTATTGTTGTTGTCATTGCGCCATCATCAGGGCCATAAGTAGCAGTCAGCAGTTGCCTCCGTCAGCGGCAGTAAGTTGTGCCGCCTGATGGTGATGGTATCGTTGTCGGTGAGGAAAATGGGACGGAGGACGAAGTTGGATGGGGTGGTCGAAGTGGCAGGAGAATTTGTGCGCAGCAACAAAAACACCAACAACAACAAAATCCGTAAAGTAAGCTTGTGTCTGTGTGTGTCTGTGTGTGAGACTACGGACGGGGACGACCAACAAGCGACACGATAATCTCGCACGTCGCATTTTTAGTTGCTGCTGCTTCTGCTGCTGATGCCACAGACATTGTTGTTGTTGCTGCTGCTTGTGCCGTCGAGTTGCCACACCCACCGCACCACCACGACTCCTGGCTACACGAGTCCTGGAGTCTGGTCCTGGCAGAAAGCCAAATGTGGCAAGTGGCTGATGTTGCCGCTGCCTCACAGGCGGTGGGGGGCGAGAGTGTGGCAAGGGCAGTGGCTGGGGCAGGATGATTGTGCCGGGGGCAGGACTGAAGAGTGTGTTGTGTGGAGTGGCAGTTGGGTTTGGGATTTTGTGTCTGCGTCGAGTTGCCTCCGTGGCAAATGTGTGGAGCGAATGGGGCATACGGCCAACGGGCACGGGCCGGGGCAGGGGCACGGAGTTGGGGGCGAGCGACCGACAAATGCTTTCGAATTGCCATGACAATCAAACCGCTTACACGTACAGTGGGCTCCATTAGAGGTTTTTGTTGCCGGGAAGCCGTTCATGGAGAATATGTGTACAGAGGTTATATAATATGGGTTTTCCTAGGACTTCCTATTCAAACATTTTTAAAAAATATTAAAGTTGAAGGATAGTCTTAGTTAAGAATATTAAATGTTTATTTAAATATTAATTAAAAGCTTCTATAAATATTTAAATAAGATAAATGCACATCCTAAAGACATACTTCTTAAGGTAGTAGTACTTGGATATTGGATAGATATCTATCTATATCTATCTATAGATCTTTTTTGCCCTATTTAAATATTAGTGACTTATATTTTACTTTTAAGATACCAATACTTAATCTTACTAAACTATTTTTTAGTCTATCTATCTTGAAAATATGTATTGAAGAAAGGAAGATCTTAAAAAGAACTCATATCCAAAGATTATAGCCCAAAGATAGACAACCTCAACTAGAGCAGTGGAAAAAACAAAGAAAATCCAAAGCTTCTCCTAATTTTTAAGTAAAACCAAATTATATTATCAGGTCTTGGCTTATTCGTTTACTTTGCGGATAATCATATACCCGTGGCTGCTTCAGGTATGGCTCTATCCGGCTGGAGTAGCCCCAATTAATGCCACACTGTGTGGCAATATCAACAAGCGCCGTTCCTTGAGTCTGTTCTGGTGTTGGTTTTGGTGTCGGTGCCTGACGAGGCTCTCGAGTGCCAGAGACACACTTCAGGCCAACTCAAGCCGAGCCTGGCCAACGTTTTTTCCATGCCGTTGCTCCTTTTGGACGGACCGGCTGGTTGGTTGGGGTATTAGGTGTGGGCGTGGCTGTCCGGGTGCTGCAAGGTGGGGAGGTGAACGGAGGCCACCGTGTGGGCCTGTTTATTATCGCCTGGCACCCATCACCAGCCAGACTCAAGGCACCCCACCCCCCTCATTTCCCCCATCCTGTGGAGAACTTTTGCCGTCTTGTCACCGGGCAAAATTCCGTTGCCGCCAAGGATGAGGAGGATGACAAATAAAAAAACTTTTGGCACGGCACGGAAGCATGCTGGCGGCATTCTCATAACGATGTTGGTGACTGCGGCGATGACTCCTTCCTCCTCCACGTCCTGTCCCGACTGCCCTCCCTTCTTATCTCCCCCATGCCCCCATGGCCTGCTCTGGCCTTTCCGTCATTCTTTCCGTCCTCCCGAATATCCTGCTTATGCCCGGAGCCCTGAGTCCTGAGCCCAGACTGGCGCACTTTTGAAGTTTGAGCTAAGTGACATGCTGTTTATTGTCGAGAGTGTTAAAATGTGCGCCCTGAATCCTTCACAGTGTGAGTGTTTGCCTCTGTCTGTGTGGGATTCAGTGTGTGTGTGTGTGTGGTTGCCACTGTGCCGAGCAAGAAATTATAATGCCAAGCTTGAACACCGCACGCGCGGGACACAACGCCGTCGACAAAAATGCACAGGAAACAAAAATGCTTCCAAGCTTTTCAGGTCCTTTTTAGGTTTTTTTTTTTAAATCCATTTTCAAATAAATATATTTTTTTCTATTAATAGTTATTTTATTAATAGGTTTTATCCTTTTTTAAAGATATTCTTGGAGGTAATACTGTTACGAGTAGTTTTAAAATTTGTCAAGATCCTAAAAATTCCATTTTGTATCTTCAAATTCTTCAAGATCTAGAACCAACTAGTTTTTAAATTTATTTTTATATAATCACTTAATTTAAATTAAATAACCCTAATGGTACTTGAAACATTTATGGTAATCATAGTTTTTAAAGACCAACTCTTAGATGTATTTCCAATAGATATTTTTTGGAGACAATAAAGGTATCTCTATACTTGGATAAACAGGTTTTTAAAATGCTTTTAAATCTATTGAGATAACATTACCTAGCTACTTATAATATTAAACTCCAATCCTAAATCAATAACTTAAAAATATTTCAACTCCCAATTTATTTCTGTGTATTTTTTCTATAAAGGTTCAGCATGTTACGGTTCACGCTCTCGCCGTCATGCCGCCAAACATACAAACAGACAACCGACGACGGCGGAATAGGAATGGCTGCTCCTGTTCCTGCCCCTGCTCCAGCTCCAGCTATGGCTGCTGCTGGTACGGCTGAGCTAGCTATGTAATCCATGAATGTGCCACACACCGAGTACGGACCGGAGAGTAGCAGACCGAAGAGGAGCAGGGCGGGGCAGAAGCACCACGCCAAAGCTGCCGGTTGTGGCATTACGATGGCATCGAGCCATGGCGATGGCTGCCTTTCCGTCGGTCTGTCCGTCTCTCCGTCCGTCCCGCCTGTCCGTCTGTCCGTGGCACGTACTTTAGAAATTCCATGCAGATGTGCGCCGCACGCCGAGACGTGTGTTTTGATTTTCAGGCAAAAAAAAAAAAAAAAAAAGAAAAAGGACGAAAGCTCAACGAACGAAACGAACGAGCGAGCCCCAGAAGGAAAACAAGCAGCAGGCCCTGTGGGGATGTGGAATTTGGTATGGGAGGGATGCGGTTGGTTTGGTTTGGCAGGTTGCGAGTTTTTCGGTCTTCGAACGGGCGGAGGTTGGAGATGGGTTGTTGGAGGGGTGGAGGGAATTGTGGGGGGCTTCTGACAGAGTCAGTGGCAACGCACGAAAGAGCAGCCAAGCGAGCAAGCCGTGAAAAAAGTGTCGACGAAAACAGCAACGGCAGTGGCAACAGGACGGCCCCAAAGGAAAACAGCCAGCTGCACTTGTTGGTGTGAGTAACGAGCGATGCGGACTCCTGACACAGAGAGGAGCAGGTGGGGCAGGACCTGGGTGCGTGGTACGTGGGTGTCCTGCCTGATGTCGATGGGTGGGAGAAGTGGTGGGAGGCAACACTAACGGAATAATTGCAGGCAACTCCGACAGCATACGAAACGGAAGCCAGACGAACAGGCGGCGGTGGCAGCTTTTCTTGCTTTTGCTTTTGGCTTTCCTTTTGAGTTGGCTGATTTCGCACACAAATACAAATACACTTTGGGTCCTGAGCTTACGCATCATTGTTGTGGCCGTGGGTGTGCTTTGGGCGGCATTTGGGAATCTCGTTGGCCAGCCGAAGGATCTGACGGAGCGGCAGTTGCTCTGTTCTGGCATGGCATGGCGCTTGCCAAGTGTCGTTAGGAGCGCGGATGTTCACATTACCTCTCAATCGTAGGACTTTTGGGGCTTATTAGACTGGTTTATAGTTGGCTAA